GTTATTCCCTGCAGGATCCTGGCAGCACAGTGTGACATACAGCGAGTATCAAATAAACAAGTACGCGTCCAATGACTGACCTGAAACCAAGGACTCCTTATGTTAGTGGTACAGGCCTAGTGTTAGGACTAAATGAGAGGACATGTCAAAATATTGAAGTTATATCTATTTCCTGGACTTCTCTAGGAGGGGAAGCCGGGACTGACATCTGCACCTTTTCTAGGACATGGGGTTCAGAGTCTTTGTAAGAGACCACCCAGACAGCACCGAAAATTTCTTACATGGGTCATCTACAGACATGAAAGTATTCCTGAACTTGGAGCACTTTTTCAGGAGACACACGTCCCAAGAACATAGCCTGTCTTACTCTATTACTTAGACTCCACTTGGAGTCCCCGTCTTTCCTTGTTTGCTGCCTGGCGGCTGTCCTGCAGAACATTTGGGGGATGGCGCAGGGTGCCCAGGGAAGCCTTTTGTGTGTGTTGAGCGTGACACTTGCCTCTGCTCTATCCCCCTGTCCCCTTTTGTTTCAACTAGACTTGTTCCTTTGGTTGAGATTAATCTCACGTGTCCCTTCCTTTAGGAGCTCATCAATTACTGCAAATACATTAGAGAGAAATAGGGCTCCAGAGCAATACGGTTCAAAGGGACGGGGGGACCCCCAGGCCACTGAGTCACACACTGTTTCACTTTAAAAAATGTCAGCGAGTTCTCTGTTCCTTAGTTCAGCCAAAAGACCGGTCTCAAGATTACCATACTGAAACTGGCACCATAAGCTGCGGGATACTTTTATTACTCGATATGGCTGTTTTATTTTCCTTTATGAACAAATGATAATCCATGGATATTTTTTAAAGGTGATCATGAGTATTACATAAATAATGCCCAGCCAGACTGTGATATTATACCAGGAAAATGTTTTCTTTTATTTTGTCTTATTTGCTTGATTTCCAGTTACTGTTCCTCCCCTGTTCCAGTTACGAACAGGGTGCTGTTTGGGTACTAATCTATTGAATTTGCAATGTTAAAATCACCTTAAATTATATGACAAGATGCCTGAAATCATCTGGTATCCAAATACTACCAACCACTCTGGTCTATGTTTTTTCTAGAGCACAGAGATCTTTCTAGACTCTGGAAGGAGATGCTCAGGACCTGGAGGTGCTGTTCTGAGCAGTCAGAAGCCTCAGGAGCAGGGACAGGACTCTATCCTCTGGACACACCAAGGGGGCGTGGAATCTCTAGAATGGCATTATTGGCCTAATTTTGTGTCTTTGATCACAATGTAATCTAGATTTTTTTACTGAAAGAAAGAGAACCCACCTCTAAGAAGCTTATCAACAAAGGCAATTTGTTGGAAGAATCAAAAGAAGATCTGAATAACCCAGTGTTAGGAAGGGTGAGGATCACACTGGGTTTAAGGAACAGTTGGAACCAAGGCCTCAAGACCAGTTACAGATTGTGCGGGGTCCAGTGTTAAATGAAAAACCAGAACTCCTCACTCAAAAATTATTAAGAACTTCAAGATGGTCACAACAGAGCATTAAACCAAGCACAGGACCCTGGGTAACTGCATGGCGCATGCCCCTGAAACTGCTGGCCCTGTGCGGACTTGGGCCCATTGACCTCTGGGCATCAATCGGCTTGCTTCTCCACATGCTCTTGCATGGCAGAGGACACAAGCACTGACAGACTCCAAGTTAGTACTTTGGGGGTTTATCAGCAGAAAAGTTTGACTTTCTCCTGGTAGATAGATGCCCACAAATCCCAAGGACAGGCTCTAATTGGGTTGGATTCCCACCCCTGAGCCATTAGACACATGGAGCTTACACTTGAACCTCATGGCTGGAGCTGGGGTGAGAGGGAGCACTGGGTAGGAAGAGCAGGTACCAAAAGAGGCACATGCTGCTTCTTTAAGTAGGAGTGATACTGAGCAGACAGTGCAGTAGATGGACATTAGATGTGTCCCTTAGGGCTGACTCCATGGGAGGGAGGAGGCATTTAGCCTGATGAGCCCCCCTCAGTTTTGCCAACTGAACAGGCCACAGAATTTGCTACAGCCACTAGATCATTCATTTCTTCTTCATATTTGTATTTACTAAAATATCCCTTTACCTCTGTGTAGAGAGAATCACTATCTTCATATTAATTGAATAGTTGGACAGATAATACCAAGAAGATGGTACCACTTCCTTGAAATGATTCAAGTGTACCATCAGAATCATTTTACTCTTGCATTGTAGAGGATGGAACATTTGCTAGATTTGGAGTTTAGCTGATGTGAAGTTGAGTTCCCCTTGTTCCACATTTCATAAACTTCACAGTTCAGCATTATTACGGACTCAATGCCATTGTTTCAATTTTCTCTGGCCATTCTTCTTAGTCATTTCCACATAAAACACGAGTTGTTACCCTTTGGGTTTATCACCGTGGATTGACGTGGACTGTAGGACAGTTACTGCAGTAAGTCAATCAAAAGTGTTGACTGATTATTTTGGAAGAAACTGGGGGCCTGACAGCACTTCTTCTATTCCAGCAAGTCATTTCTTTTTTCCCCAGAGGTTTTCAGATAAAGAACTCTGAGATAGTCATGTGCAAAAAATAACTGACATTGGAAAATAAAACAGACAGAAATGGAGGCTCACAGAAAGCTTCATCTTTTAAAGCCAGACGGAAGACTGGGTTCCTCAGAAAGACGATTCGAGAAGCTGTGAAGGTGGTCCTGGACCTCTGGCTAGACTCTCTCACCTTTCAGTAGTGTTGCTGGTCACCAGATATAACATCTAACTGTGCTGACATTGGCCACAGTATCACCTTGGAACTACACAGCCCTGAGTTTAACCTGCCTCTGAACCTTAGGTTTCTTCTCTGCACAGCCGGGAAGACATAATGGTGTCATAATTTATTGTAGGGCTATGTGAGATAATATCTAAAATGAAAAATATAAAAAACCATCTGAAATAGCGCTGGCACATAACAGGTGCTCCAAGAGGTTGGTACCCTCCTCTCTTTTCCCTTTCCTCCTGGGTTATTTGCTTTCTCTGGAGCAGAAATTTGACTTTAGCTAGATGTGTTTTATCTTTTCTGGACATGACAAACCTTATTTCAAGTTTAAATTCATTTGGCAAGTATATATGGAACACCTCCTGTGTGCCAGGCTCCATGCCAGGGGATGGTGTTTTCTATGATGAGTAAGGCACAGTCCCTTTGAGAAAGATAATTTTGCCATTTAGAAACCTACAGTTTAAGAAGCAGTACGGCTGTCAGTGTTTTAATGTTTATCATGCATATTCAAAAGGATTAGGAATAACATACTTGGTTTTCTTTGGTAGAACTAGGATGATGTTTAATAGAAGTTTGGGGGTATGTGGTTTTAAATCAAAGTTTTGCCATTTAACAAACTCTGTGTCCTTAGGCAGAGTTACTTGTGTGAGTTATTCACTGTTCACTCACCAGGGGCAACTACTGCTAACTCATAGCATCATTTGCAGGATTAAATACGATAGAACACGGAGATTTAGGGTCAGTGCCTAGCATAGTAAACACAGAAGTAGTAGAGGTTACAATTGTTGGCTGCTTTAGGCTTGCCTGAAAAATTCTAATGGACTGTTCACATATGTACCCAACTCTTCATTTGATTTCTCAATAAACATTTATCAAGCATGTACTAGGTGAAGGGGATACAACAGTGACCTAAAGTGGATATTTTACCTTTCACAGATGTAAAGGAACACCAGCCTTGAGTGTTAGAGATGAGGGGTGTATGGTGCCCAGAGAGGTTGCACAACAGGAAACCTTTGTTGGGGAAGTGATGATTGAACTCCAGTCTCAAGGAGTTATTTTTGGAAGGGTTGAGTGTTCCAGGCAGAAGGAACTCCATGTGCAAAGGTACTGAGGCAGGAGGAACAGAACAAGTAGGAGAAACTTTCTTCAACTTACTTGAAGAAAGCCAGTGAGACGGGAGAAGGGAGGTCAAGGTAGGAAGAGCATGGTATGACTGAAGTAGAAAGAAAGTCTTCCCATTCCCCAGACACTAAAGAAAGGGCAATATGTACAGAGTAATTCATTACAGGGCATACTTTATTCAGTCATGTTTTGACTTATAAAGCACTAAGGGCGTTTGGAGATGGTCTGTCCTCAGAAAGCTCACTGATGGCTGAGTGACTTGAGGCATTAGAGACTTATAATTAATAATAGCACAAGATAGAAAACAAAAGATGTCACCAGATTGGTAAAGGCAAAGACCTCTGAGAACTCAGAAAACTGAGAAATTATTTCTTGCTTGAAACATATAAAGATACATATTTTTTTCTTTTTGTATAAGAAATGTTTGATCCTAAGGGTGACAAAGGGAACAAGTACCATAATCACAGATGTGGGAATGAGGCAGGTGTGGGTATCAGCAAGTTCGTACTGTGGTTGGAGTATTTGAGCAAAGTATCAGAGCTGAGCTGGAAGGAACTAGATCAAGGAGGCTTTTGACTATTTGGCTTGAACATTGCCTTCTATTTGATAGGGAAAGCACAGGCTTTAATCAGAAGAATGACTTACTCAGAATCATATTCTGGAGAGATGAATCTGGCATCATGCAGGGTA